CTGAACTTCGCATTCCTAGCAGCATCTGGATTGAGCAAAGGTCGAGCGTCGGGTTCGCCCCTGTCTCCTCCGGCCCTCCTGCTCCCGCGATTGCTTGCGCCGTGGCCTACCACCTCGGCTCAGACGTTCCAGCTGCGTTGAGTGCCCTGCGCGCCAGTTGGGTTCGCGCTGTCGAGGCTACCTCATGCGCCCCCCATGAGCAGGTTGTCTCTGGAGGGAGCGTGGCGCGGAGAGGCCCCCCCGTTCCAGGTGGCTCGTGCTCGTCCGGCCGCGCCGTCTCGAGTCGCGCCTCTTCGCGATGGAGCTTGCGTCTGGCGGGCTCGGGCCAGCGCAGTTATGAGCAGCATTGCGCGACATGTCCGAAGATTTTGGGCGCCAAACAATGGGATGCACTGCGCGTTGCAGGTCGGCGTCTGTTGGGCGAGACTCTTGAGAGGGCGCGTCAGACTGTTCGGCCGACGGGTGAATTTCATTCGGATGATTGGACGCACTTGTTGGGGCATTTACGCGGCAGTGACCTCGCCACCTTGGGCGCCGGCGCCCAGGCGGCCGATCAGTTGGCCAGTCGCAGCCAGTGGCGGGCCACTGGGCAAGCCATTGGCGAATTTCGAGAGCGGGTGGAGGCAGCGTCAGCACTCGGCATGCCCCCCAAGAGGCTGAATGATCCCACGCCCGAGGTGAAGGGCGTCATCGTCGACGGTCAGGCCATTCTGCGCCCGCAAGACGCTCTTGATCACGAGAGTCGGGGGCGGGAGAAAGTTTGGGAGCCATCTTTCTTGCCCAAGGATGGAGAGTATGTCGCGCCGGCCGACCTTGAGAGTTTGAATTGAGACATCATGCGGGACTGGGGGTCTGGTTCTGTCTAGCGCGCGTGTTCTATGCAGTCCAGCAGCATAAAGAACTAGCAAAGCCGTGCGTTGATAGGGTTGGGGGCAATCGCGCCGATTACTTCGCTCGGACTCTCAAGGGTCTCTGGCCTAAGGCCCTCAGCAAAGCTGAGCTAGCCAAGAAGCAAACATCCAGCGTTTAAGTCGTCCTGCCCCGACCTGGTCGCCACACCCAGAACTCTAGAACTTCATCCCACCTCCGTCTTCCCTCCTCGCTTCTCCCTCCTCCTCCTCCCCCATCTCCTCCTCCCCCTCCTCCTCCTCCTCCTCCTCCATCTCCTCGTCCTCCTCCTCCATCTCCTCGTCCTCCGTCCTCCGTCCTCCTCCTCCGCCTTTTCTTTGCCCCTGGTCCTCGCTCCGCCTCCAGCTCCTCCCCCTCCTCCTCCTCCTCCTCCTCCTCCTCCTCCTCACCTCCTCCTCCTTCCTCCTCCTCCTCCTCCCTCTTCCCTCCTCCTCGTTTTCGCCCTGCTCCTCCTTCATGCTTCTTCATTTATCCCCGCACGACTCTTCCTCCCTGCGTCGCTTCCGTATCCTCATCCCTATCCTCGTTCTCTACTCTCTCTTCCTCCTCCCCCCCTCCTCCTCCTCCTTCTCCTCCTGCCCCTCCCTCCTTCCCTCCCTCTATCCCTCCTCCTCCTCCTCCTCCTCCTCCTCCTCCTCATCATCATCATCATCATCATCATCATCATCATCATCATCATTTTTCCCCTCCTCATCCCCCTTCCCTCCCGTCTTCTCCCTGCACTGTCCTCATCCTCCGAGGCCCGTGACCGCACCGAACCAGCGCATCTTCCAGTGGAGGGGGGAGGGGAGGATCACGGATCGATGACCAGGCCGTTTGTTTCTACGTAGGGACGCTTTTGTCGCCACAGTCGGATCAACCTCGAACTTCTGATCGCATCGTGCAATGGAACATTTTCTGGCGGACAATTCTTTGGGAGGAACACATCAGAGGAGGAGGCGGAGGAGGAAGAGGCGGAGGAGGACAAACAGGAACAAGGAAGAGGAGGAGGAGGAATGATTATTTAGGAGGGCAAGGCGTAGCAGGATGATTATGATGATGATGCTGCTGATGATGATGAGGAGGAGGAGGCGGAGGAGGAGGAGGAAGAGGTGGATGACGAGGAGGGGGAGGAGAAGAGGAGGAGAGGAGGAGGAGGAGGAGGAGGAGGAGGAGGAGGAGGAGGAGGAGGATAGGGCCGAGGATGCGGGGATGGAGGACCATGCTGGACGAGGGGGAGGAGGAGGAGGAGGAGGAGGAGGATCAGGAGGAGGGGAAGGAGGAACCCCTTGGAACCCTCTGTCTATGCCCGGGTGACCGAGCTATACTCAATGAAGGATTTGGATGGCAATGATGATGGTGATGCTGATGATGATGATGATGATGATGATGATGCTGATAATGCTGCTGCTGATGCTGATGCTGATGATGATGATTTTGATGTTGATGATGCTGATGATGACGATGATGCTGATGATGCTGATGATGATGATGGTGCTGCTGAGGTTGATGCTGATGCTGATGATGGTGATGCTGATGATGCTGAGGATGGTCAGGTTGATGCTGATGCTGCTGGTGATGCTGATGGTGATGATGGTGATGCTGAGGATGCTGATGCTGACGATGATGATGATGATGATGATGATGATGATGATGATGATGACGATGATGATGATGATGATGATGCTGATGATGTTGATGCTGATGGTGCCGATGATGCTGGGGAGGAGAATGCGGATAAGGCCGACGATGCAGGCATGATAGCTGCTGACGAACACGATGCTGATGATGATGACCATGACGATACTAATGACGATGATGATGGATGGTGGTGATGCTGATGATGGTGATGGTGATGGTGGCGATGCTGATTATGCTGAAGATGATGGTGATCTGATATGATGAGGATGATGCTGCTGATGATGAAGAAGATGATGAAGATGATGCTTAGAATGATGGTTAGGCTGCTGATGATGATGATGATGCTGATGATGATGATGATGATGATGATGTTGATGTCGGTGATGCTGTTGATGATGATGATGATGGCGGTGGTGGTGGCGGTGATGTTGTTGATGATGATGGTGATGATGACGATGTTGAGCGAGGAGGAGAGTGGAGGGCGAGGAGGAAGGCGTTGAGGAGGAGGAGGAAGGGGTGTCGGGCGAGGAGGGCGAGGGAGAGGAACATTTGGGCGACGGCGGCGGCGAGGCCCGCCGCGTTTGGTCTGCCCCGTGTCTTCTCTCTCGAGGAGGCGCGAACATGGATTGAGGCGCGTTGATTAGCGAAGGGCCCCGCTCCCGTGCAGAGCCTGCCCGCTGCGTCGCCAAGTCAGGCGGCACTGGCCTCGTGCTTCGGGGGTGCCTTCCCTGGTCCGTGGATTCCTCTCGCTTCGCGGGGTGCCCTTCCTGCGCTTGTAGAGTATCTGCTTTCGGGCTCTTCAGGGAGCCTTCTTGAGGCCACGTGTGGCCATTGGGGGGTATCGCCTATCTCCTCCTCCTTCTCCTCCTCCTCCTTCTCCTCCTCCTCCTCCTCCTCCTCCTCTCCCTGTTGCTGTTGCTGGTGGCTTTGGGACCGTCATAGGGCGCAGCCATTGCTCTTCCCTTTCCTCCTCCTCCTCCTCCTCCTTCTCCTCCTCCTCCTCCTCCTCCTCCTCCTCCCCCTTCTCCTCCTCCTCTTCCTCCTCCTCCTCTTCCTCCTCCTCCTCCTCCTCCTGCATCTCCTCCCCCTCGCCATTCGTCCTCCTCCCCCTCGCCATTCCTCCTCCTTCTCTTCCCCCTCGCCAGTCCTCGTCCTCCCTTCCCTCCACGTCCCACAAGGACAGCCTCGGCGGCCGCGCCCGTGGCCGCGGCCGCGGCTGCGGCGTCGGCCGCCACCGCGGCCGCGGCGCTGGCTGGCGCAGGGCGCTGGGCCACGCCCAGGACGTGCCGCGGCACCAGGACTCCCGCGAACGGGAGGGTGGGGAGGAGGAGGAAGAATTTCGTTGCCGTCGGCGGCGTTTTTTTTTTGGTTAGTCTCTTACGAGTGAGGGTTACGTTCCATGCCCCGCCCGCCTGCCCAGCTGAATGTCCCTTCTGCTCGTCGTCGTTGGCGCCGCCGGCGTCGTCGACGGCGGCCTCCTCGTCGTTGGCCGTCGCTTCGCTGTCGGCTGCTGGCCACGGGTCGGGGGCGGGGGGGGAGTTGTTAGGAGGGTTGGGGGGCTCCCCCAGAGGTCGGGGAGGGGGGGGCGGTTTCAAAAGGCAAAGGGGGGAGGGATTGTCTGGTAGGGAGGGAGTGAGGGTTCGGTCAGCTGGAGGGTTGGGGGGAGATTGTCCAGATGGGGTTCTTGATTGCGGAGGAGAGGTGGGGTGAATTTCCGCAGTACGGCGCCCACGGAAAGCGCTCTCTCGTATATTCCATGGGTTGCCTCCGGGACCGTACTAGACGCGTCAGTGCATGTAGTTCCGTCGCGTGCTCCTGGAGAGTCTTATTTGAAACATTTGCGTGCGACGGTTTGGAAATATGGCTGCTCTTGTCATGGCCGCGTGGCCGAAATTTGATTGTGCTAGCGGCCCTGCCTCAAATGCAAACTTGACGCGTGCTTGTTGCCCCCCATGGCTCGAAGCCTTCTGGTTCACAACGTCCCATCCACCACCCTTGTTCCCTCGAGTTCGAGGGCTTTCTGATCCAAGCTCTGGGCGAGGATGGCCAGAGCTGCGAGTTTGACGTCTAGCGGTACTTTTTTGGGGGCAGGCAGCGATCTCGTCTTGATCCTTGATCCGTCCAGGCTGAGGCAGCTGGTCATCAGCTGTCGCGATGAGCCCATTGGAGGCTCCGTGGGACGAGCCCAGGCCCCAGCGCTGTGCCTCTTCTTCCTCCTCCCTCCTCCCTCCATTATTCCCCTCTCCTCCTGCTTGTGCCACCGTTCGACGACGACCCTCCCTCCCTCCCTGCCTCCCTCCCGCCCTCCCGCCCTCTCCCCCTCTCCTCCTCCTCCTCCTCCTCCCCCTCCCCCTCCTCCTCCTCCTCCTCCTCCTCCTCCTCCTCCTCCTCCTCCTCCTCCTCCTCCTCCTCCCTCCCCTGCTCTCTTCCCTCCCTCCCCTCCCCTTCCTCTCTCGCCCCTTTGTCCACAGGAGGCGCGCGGCGAGGGGGCGCGGCGCCAGGGTCGTCGCGGCGGCGTCCGTGGCCGAGGCGGCCCCGCCGCCCACGGCCGAGGGCACCGCCGCGCAGGCCGCGCCGAAGGCGGTGCCCCTCCTCGTCGTGTCGGTCGGCGGCGAGCGAGGGGGGGAGGTGAGAAGGAGAAGGCCTCCTCAGAAGGCTTCCTCAGAGGGCTCGTCGTGTCGGTCGGCGGCGAGCGAGGGTCGGGCCGGACGAAAGGGGGGATTGGGAAAGGGGGGGTTACGAAGTTTGCTGCATGCAGCTGGTTTCGGCCTCACCGAGGGGCCCATTCCTCGATACACAGCCGCCTCCCGGCGCAGGGAGGCGCCGGGAAAATCAGCTACGTGAGCTGATTCTCACCCTCCCCCTTTGCTATCCTCCCCTTTCGCCCGACCCGAGAGGGGGGGAGGTGAGAAGGAGAGAAGGCCTCTCAGAAGGCTCGGAAGTCCCCCCGGCCTGCCGAGAAGTTGTCTGAGCCTTCCCCGAAGACGCAGGAGGCTTGTCAGAAGGCGCGAGGGCTTCCGAGAAGTCCCGCCGCCTTCTGAGAAGCCTTCTCCTTCTCACTTCCCCACCTCGCTCGCCGCCAAACAACTGCAGAAATGTACGCTCTCGAAGGTCCTCGCGGAGTTTGGGAGGGGGGGGTCCAGCGCAGATCCGAGGAATCCGCGCGGACCGTCGAAAGTTTATGTTATGGTTGTGCAGTTGTTTCTTCTGGATCGGAGGAGACGAAGTTTCGAGGTTCGGAGTTCGAGTTTTCTGGACGTTCTCGTTGGTTCCCGGCGGCCTTTTAGCCTTGGGGTGCCTTCCACCAGCTGCGTCTCGCAGAGAGCGTTCTGGGGGTGCCTGGTTATCCCGAACGGCCGCCGGAGAGTTGAGATATGACGCGAAAGCCGCCAAGGGATAAGCTCAGGGGGGATGCACTGACCCCGGATCTTCCGTTCATCGCCGGATAGGGGCTTGATAGCCCCACGCCGCCCAGGAATGTGTTGATTCCCATCGGGGGCCCATGGCCGATCTATCGGTGATGTATCGCCGATTTCAGCTCAATGTTTTCATTCCTGAGCAACCCCCCCCTTTTCGCTGCCACTCTCTGAATGTTTTGGGACAATCTTTTCCCGCTGGTGATAACGACGGTGGCCGAGGTCTAGATTTTCAAGCGTGTTCATGTGGTCTCTGAGGTCATGCAGCCTCGGGATGCCCTCCAGCGGCTGCGCCTCGCCGAGGGCGTTCCGGGGTTGCCCAGATCGTCTTTAAAGGCCGCCAAATACCCGAGTTCTGGACCGAAAACCACCTCGTCGTAAGTAGGTCTCTGGATGTTCTGTCATATCGTGTTGCCAGGAGCCGGCGAGCAAGAAAGAGGAGGCGAGGTTCGAGGTTTTGGGATCGAAAGCATTTTTTTCCCAACCATCCTGTGGTGTTGGGTCCTCGTTTTGAAGAGACAGCGCCCCGCGTCACTTCTTCCTTCCTTCCTCCCGCTGCCTCCTCCCTCCCCCTTGCCTCTGCCCTCCGCATGTCTCTGTTTCGGCACATGCCTCACGCGTTCCGTGGCCCCATAGGGAGCTCCACCGAAGGCCCCAGTGGCAGGGTCCGCATGGCGGCCCCGCATTTTGGCGCACACCTCACACGGTTCGTGGCCCCATAGGGAGCTCCACCGAAGGCCCCAGTGGCAGGGTCCGCACGGCGGCCCCGCATTTTGGCGCACCCCTCACACGGTTCGTGGCCCCATAGGGAGCTCCACCGAAGGCCCCAGTAGCAGGGTCCGCATGGCGGCCCCGCATTTTGGCGCATAGGGAGCTCCACCGAAGGCCCCAGTGGCAGGGTCCGCATGGCGGCCCCGCATTTTGGCGCCCCTCACACGGTTCGTGGCCCCATAGGGAGCTCCACCGAAGGCCCCAGTGGCAGGGTCCGCATGGCGGCCCCGCATTTTGGCGCACCCCTCACACGGTTCGTGGCCCCATAGGGAGCTCCACCGAAGGCCCCAGTGGCAGGGTCCGCATGGCGGCCCCGCCCCATTTTGGCGCACCCCTCACACGGTTCGTGGCCCCATAGGGAGCTCCACCGAAGGCCCACCGGCGGCCCCGTGGCATGGGGTGGCCCATGGCGGCCTCATTTTGGCGCACCCCTCACACGGTTCGTGGCCCCATAGGGAGCTCCACCGAAGGCCCCAGTGGCAGGGTTCGCATGGCGGCCCCGCCCCATTTTGGCGCACCCCTCACACGGTTCGTGGCCCCATAGGGAGCTCCACCGAAGGCCCCAGTGGCAGGGTCCGCATGGCGGCCCCGCCCCATTTTGGCGCACCCCTCACACGGTTCGTGGCCCCATAGGGAGCTCCACCGAAGGCCCCAGTGGCAGGTTCCGCATGGCGGCCCCGCTTCATTTTGGCGCACCCCTCACACGGTTCGTGGCCCCATAGGGAGCTCCACCGAAGGCCCCAGTGGCAGGGTCCGCATGGCGGCCCCGCCCCATTTGGCGCACCCCTCACACGGTTCGTGGCCCCATAGGGAGCTCCACCGAAGGCCCCAGTGGCAGGGTCCGCATGGCGGCCCCGCCCCATTTTGGCGCACCCCTCACACGGTTCGTGGCCCCATAGGGAGCTCCACCGAAGGCCCCAGTGGCAGGGTCCGCATGGCGGCCCCGCCCCCTTTTGGCGCACCCCTCACACGGCTCGTGGCCCCATAGGGAGCTCCACCGAAGGCCCCAGTGGCAGGGTCCGCATGGCGGCCCCGCATTTTGGCGCACCCCTCACATTTTGGCGCACCCCAAGGCCCCACCGAAGGCAGCTCCACCGAAGGCCCCAGTGGCAGGGTCCGCATGGCGGCCCTGCCCCATGTTGGCGCACCCCTCACACGGTTCGTGGCCCCATAGGGAGCTCCACCGAAGATGATGCCCACAATTGCGGTATTAACAACTGCTTATGGTTGAGTCTTTCGCTAGGCGAATTGTCTGTTTTTTTTCGTTTTCCGCGTGGCCGTTTCCAGGCCCTGAGAGTCCGAAGCGGATCCAGGATGAAAAACTGTACCAGGTTGGCACTGGGAGGGGTCCAGAGATTGATTTTGAACAGATTTGCATTCCTTTCCTTTTATTGACATTAGCCTGGCGAAGGACCCAACCATACGCAGTTGTGAATACTGCAAATGTGGATACCATCTTCGCCCGCGCTCCCTGTGTGGCCACGGCTTCCCGCCGGAACCCGACATGCTGAGGGACACGTTCGTGGCCGTCTTCGCGGGCGCCGACGGCGAGAAGGACGGCGCCCCCCTGACCGAGGAGCAGAAACAGGAGAGGGCTCTGAGAGCCATGAGGGAGGCTGCCATTGGCCCCATCGGTGGAGTTCGTATGGGGCCACGATTCTCGTGAGGGGTGTGCCGACATGGCCCGAGGCCGCCATGCGAACCCTGCCACTGGAGCCTTCTGTGGAGCTCCCTATGGGGCCACGATCCTCGTGCGGGGTGTGACGACATGGCCCGAGGCCGCCATGCGAACCCTGTTATTTGCGCCTTCGGTGGAGCTCGCATGGGGCCACGATCCTCATGAGGGGCGCGCCGACATGGCCCGAGGCCGCCGCGCGAACCCTGCCACTGGCGCCTTCGACGGGGCCCCCTACGGGGCCACGACCCCCGTGAGGGGCGCGCCGAAATGGCCCGCGGCCGCCGCGCGAACCCTTCCAGTCGCGCCTTCGGTGGAGCTCTCTATGGGGCCACGATCCTCGTGAGGGGTGCGCTGACATGGCCCGAGGCCGCCATGCTAACCTTGCCAGTGGGGCCTTCGGCGGAACCCCGTATGGGGCCACGATCCTCGTGAGGGGTGCTCCGAAATGGCCCGGGGCCGCCATGTGGGTCTCCCTATAGGGCCACGATCCTCGTGAAGGGTGTGCCGAAATGGCCCGAGGCCGCCATGCGAACCCTGCCACTGGCGCCTTCGGCGGTGCTATTATTGGGCCACGATCCTCGTGAGGGGCGCGCCGAAATATCCCGAGGCCGCGATGTGAGCCCTGCCAGTGGCGCCTTCGGTGGAGCTCCCATGGGTCACAAACCTTGGGAGGGGTATACCGAAATAACCGGAGGCCGCCATGCGAAGCCTGCCACTGGCGCCCTCGGTGGAGCTCCTATGGGGCACGATCCTTGTGAGGGGTGTGCCGAAATGGCCCGCGGCCGCCACGCGAACCTTTCCACTCGCGCCATCGGTGGAGCTCTCTATGGGGCCACGATCCTCGTGAGGGGTGTGCCGACATGGCCCGAAGCCGCCTGGCGAACCCTGCCAGTGGCGCCTTCGGCGGAGCTCCAGTGGGGCCACGAGCCTCGTGCGAACCCTGCCGCTGGGGCCTTCGGTGGAGCTCCCCATTGGGCCACGGAGCGCTGTACTGGGTGGGTGAGACGCAGGGAGGAAGGAGGATGGGTGGAGGGAGGGGAAGGAAAGGGGAGAGACGCGGGGACCGTCTTTTCAAAACGAGGACCCGACACCACAGGATGATTGAAGAAATTCTCAAACGGCCATTGAATTCAGGCCCCTGGCCGCCTTCAAATTGAAATCCTTCTTCACTTTTACCCATGGTCGATCCATCTTCGCCCATGCTTATTGAACCTTTTTCAACTGGACTGCCTCCCCGGGTCTCGCACCTGGTGTTTTGTCAGGGCAAAGTCTTGTTGCTCAGACTGTGCTGTTGGGCCCCCGGGTGCAACAACGACGGCTCTCGCCGGGTACCCCGTCGCAGTTGATTAAGGAATTTCGTCATCTTGCAATTTGCGGAGAAATTTTGCTCTCGCTCTGGAGGTCGTTTTATATTGCGAAGGTTTTGCGGCCAGTGCCGCCGACCCTGAGGTTGGGGAGGAGGGCGCGGAACATGGGGGGGAATATGAGGAGGGGACAAGAAGAAGAGGTGGATGAGGAGGATCGGAGCACAGGGGGAACGACCAAGAGGAGAGTGAGGCGAGCAGGGTCGCATGTATAGGTGGAAGGGGGGACATGAAGGAAGGGCAGGGGCGAGTAGAGCGTGGCGGTCATGAGGAGGAGAAGGAGGGAGATAATGGCGAAGATGTTGACGATGTTGACGACGACGCCGGCTGCTATCAGGACCATTCGGGGCG